TAGCTCCGTACCACGTTCAGACCGAAAACTGAATTGCACGTCGGGAATCACATGGTGGTCTGTCGAGAAATTCTCAAGGTGACGTAGAATCACCTTTTCAGCGAGCTTAGAAGGAGCTGACAGCAGGCTAATGGGACGATAATCATGGGGAAATATCTAACCCACCTTCTTTGGAATCATTATAACTTCAGCGGTCTTCCACGCGGATGGGAACTACTGGGTCCTTAGAATGGCATTGACTATTGCCACGAGTGAAGTTAAGGACTTCCGCGAAAGCAGCTTCAGCGCCTTATTATTTGATCCTCCCCAGCTACTTTACGCACTTTAAGGTCTTTAATATGACCTTGAATCTCGGCTGGTGTGCAATGCGGGCTCTCGGGAGATTCCGCTGATGTGCTAAGCAGATATTCGGTTAAAGAAGCTTCTGAAGAAGAAAAATCACCAACGGTAGCGCGACTGTCACTGACGCCGTTGGTCCTAAAATATCTCCTGACAGATCTTACGATGTGTTGCTCCTCGTCGAGGTCAGTATCAAGTATATATGGTTGGGAGAGAACTATCTTTCCGTGGCATCAGCGAAAACCTCAACCTTTTCCTCTGTCCTGAAGACAACGCCTCCAGGACAGTGAATGTGTGGGATTTGTTCACGCTTTCCATTTTTGAGAGACTTCGCCACCTTCCAGAGAAGAATGCTTGAGTCAAGCATCCCCGCCAGAAAGTCTCTCCATTGCTCATTGCGGAATTCGTGAAGAGCATTTCTTACTTCATGAACAAGATTCGTCGCTCTGCGAATGCCATCAGGATGACAAGACCTTTTCGCTTGCTTAATTGCAGCCCTTTTATCAGACATTTTCTGACGAATGTCTGCTGGCAAAAAAGGTCTGCCGTGTCGCTACACAGGAAGTACAGCTGCACACTGCAGAGCTTGCTGAACAAAACTTGTCCACTCTGCTTGAGCCGCGTCTATACCGTTCTCATCATCTATGATTGGAATATTGGGGAAATCTCTGAGGAGCGACTTGTATAGCTCCCAATCAATGAGTTTCCTTGGAGGGGTTTCAGCCTCCAAGGTCTGCTCATTACCCACTTCCTAAACGACGGGAAGATAATCGCTTGAGATGTCATACATGATTCGAGAAGTGATACTGTATCTACCGTTCTTGGATATTGCAAAATCAAGAACATCCGGTGCCTGAAGGTGATTAAATGGGTGGTGCGTCGGCTTCCGTGGTGGTCAATGTGCCGTTAAAAATCACATCGGTGTATGTCAGGTGTGGTATCAGGCTGGAAGAGGCAGATCCGCATGGGTATCATGTAAAAAACCTATAAAACGTCAAAAAAACCTATAAGATGTCATCTTGCAAACTAGGCAGTTTTTAGGGCGCAAACAGTGATTCCACGTTTGCTCACTGGGATCGTTGTGAACGTCCATCTATGGAGGAATCACTGAACTAAACTACACGCATTATTGGTTGCACATGTTCTGTGAGGCCGAGTGGTCCATGTCTGTAGTTTTTATCTCTGAGAAGAAAGTTGGTTGAATAGCAAGATCGCATCTGGATGATTATGCGTATTGGTCTGCATGTGTATAAAATCAGTGATATTTGCTGTGTGAGATATGGCTTGAAATTCGACAGTGTACAGTGAATATAATTATTTCTTATCTCTCTCATTTTTGAAATTCAGGAATGGATAAGAAAAAGTGGATGCGCAACTAATTTCTAGCTTTGAATCTCAATTAAGTGTATTTGAGACAAGAATCCAAGGGAATTATCATCAACAAATACAACTTACAGCTTAGACCTCCAGTAGTGCCATCTCAGAAGCAGATTTTACATCACATCAGAGCCAAAGGTTGATAACAAGCCTCATGATGTTTATGCAACACGTACAACTAAGTGCTAAGTTAACATCTTGTAGAAAAACCTACATAATGTCAAAAAAACAGCATAATGTCAAAAAAAAATCGGAATAGTGTCACTTTTCAAGATACGTGATACCCGTGCCGGTCAGTTTCCATAGTAAATATCTCAGTTATCTCGCTTTTCGTCTCAAAATTTTTCCGGATTGAAATTACGGGACAGCTGCTATCAGTTCCCTATACAGGGCGATTTTGCCTAAATATACTGTCCACTATCCTTTCGCCTTTTACTATTTATTGTTATTTTGAAATCCCTTTTCCAGTTCGGGAAGGATAAAAGGAAAACTAATAAGCCGAAAAAGCGTTCTAAAATGGCTAAAGCTAAAAACCTTTTGGCACCTAATTTTCAAATCAGGATTATGTAAGGTTTTTAGATATTACCTTTTTTAATAATTATAATCAACTATAATTTATGAACGTGTAAAGTAAATGATGTTTAACAGAATAAAGTATTTTTCCTCTACCATTTTGTTAATGATTTTGACAACTCTCAAGTCCGCTAGTATAGAGAGTATATAATTTTTCAAAAATCATATGCCCATTGATTTGAACTCCGATATACTTTTCGATATGACAGATTACTCAACTGGCATGCATGGTTAATGATGAGAAAGCAAACATATACAACGGCTTTTCTATGCATTATAAGTCGTCCTCAGTAATTTCGATACGAATAGTCAACTTTTAAACTAAAAACTATACACCTAAGAGCTTTGAACCAAGCATTGATATAGAATATCTAGGGGATGTGGCACAACGACTGTGGTCATGGGTCAGGTCAAGATTTTTATCGTACAAACATGTCAAAATAATATGCGTTTATATTTCGCACAACCTAGCCGATACCATTTTTACGTAACTGCAAATTGTAGGCGGTGGCGATTGTAAGACGTAATCTGACACTTGACCATTGTTATACAAGGTGGGCCATACTAAAATTCACTTTTGAAAAAATTGTAATTAAAAGCAGGTTATAATGAAAAGAATTTACTAATTTTTGTAATATAAAATGTCATTTATAATTTTTTAGATAGACCGAAAAATTCACCTGATGGAAGGTGTTCAACACGTGTCAGGCTTACCTGGTGAAATATTACTTTCACGAAACAAGAAGATTTTGTATCGGCATGTTTTAAAATTAATTATTAGCATGTGAGCAACTGTATATGCCTTATGTGAATATGCTATGAACATTTCGTTGGTCAGGAGAATATGTTTTGAACGGATGTGAACAGTACGCCCTAAGAACATGCTTTCTTATGATATCTCTTTTAAGATCTAAATCGTACATTTCATGTTTATTGGGGATTTTATTGAGAATGTTTTCAAAACTAAATTTATTATGTCCCACCTGTATAATAATAGTGGTATACTTCTCCACAAAGGTAGGTAATGTACTATTATGTATCTAAGGCTTTAAGCGGGTGTGGAATAAGAGCGCAACGAGCTCGAACATGGGACAAGGGAGATTAACACTCAGCTTAAATGAGATACATGCACAATTTCCACCGGCAATCCATGGGCTGAAAAGTGGGACTTAACGGCCGGAAAACGTATTCATCAATAGTCTAATCATATTAGCAAATTTCCCTGAAATAATTGTAAAGTCTGGTTTTATTGATGCAAGTTGTTCAAAGGGGTATTTAAAACATGGTCGCATAAAATGGTACACCAATTTTTGTGGGAAAACGTTTTATTCGACAACAAAGAATTAGACAACGTGTTTTTTGGGATCTAATTGAAAGTGTTGGCAGGAACGAAAATACTCTTCAAATAATATCTTTAGGTATTTATGAGACCTAGAGAATGAGAACCCACGTAAAAATATCCCACTAATACTAAAAAAGTTATGGCCGACAACCGAGGCAAAATAGCACTTTAGTAATTCTTCAAATCCGTAGGCTTCTTACTTTAAAATAACCGTAACAAAGTTGGAGTCGATTAGTCAAGTAGTTTTTGAGAATTTCTAATTATTTATCCCAAAACACCTGTCTTCTGGCCATCACTACTAGTTTATTGAGCAATATACAGGGTTCGTTAAAAGGGCATTTCATAGCAAAACACACGAGTTTACCTTGCCGACATGAATCACAAGCCATTCCGAAAGATAATTGTTATTTTTATACGGAAAACGAAGAGTTACATTTTTTCTTCTAAACAAATTCAAACATTTCGTATTTGTAAGTAATTGAACAGATTCGCTATGATATTTGAAAAACATACGTTATTATACACATTTTAAAACAAAGTGGATGTGATTTTTTTTCAAGATTCCTTCATACTCTTGTATATATATATATATTTAGAGCAGAAATTTTCACACGCTCACAGATGTGCCTTAAAGTTTATAAAAAAAATATTTCATACTGAAATGAGCTGAACTGTTTATAAAATTAGCGCGCAAACTTAAGACACAATTATGTTTCAAACTGTCTTGACTAGTTAGTATGTACCATGTTTGTGCTAAATAGCTGCATTATTGACGACTGCATGACTTTGCCAAATAAGTAGGTCACGTAATTAAGTTTCTTTACGAAGAAATGTAATTTCCTGGACCTTTTTTCTACTTGTATAGGTTTCAAGAGTATTTTGAATTATGTATAACAGATTTGATGTGCCTCCAATGTTCGCTTGACATTTGTCAGTGTCAAGTATAGTGGTATGAAGATCCAGACTTTACAATTATTTCGCAAACCAGGGGTATTTTCGTCTAATACGATTTGATTAAAAGTACACTTTTCTGTCCGGTCGTAGATAAAGATTCTGAGAGTTGTATGTGTTGCAATGCCTATGTAGGAAAGAAAAATGAAATAAAAAGTTTTGAAGTTAATATATTACAAAGTTAGCAAACGAAACAAATATACAGTATAAAAGATCTGCAAAAGACATCTCATCCAAACTAACATTGCCAACTTTGAGCCGGTGAGAGATGAGGTGAAATAAACTGTATTATGATAATTTGAAATCAGAATACTGAAAAATTAACAAACAAAACAAGTATAAAATAAAAATACAGTTCTACAAAAATCAAATATTATACTGATACAAAACGAAAATGAATATAATCCTACATTTTTTAAAAGTCGATAACATTCTGAAAAGCATTATGAAATCAATATAGGTACTATAAAAAATAAATAGAACAAAGTATACAACAATAATAAAACGTCAAACAATATAAATATATGATATTTTAAAACAGAATACTAAGAAAATAAAAGAATAAAGCAAGTATATAACATAAAGGGAAATGCGAAAAACAGATCTTACCCTGGTTTAATGTGAAAAGGTAGGATTCCATTTAACGCCGTAACTCTATTTGCTAAATAAATGTCATTTTTGTTGAATACATGTAAGTTCTGTCAGAAAAAATCAGTTAATTATATTAAGGTCTAATCAGCTACTCTGGATCTCATACGGAGAATAAGCGTTCTAATGCTTCTCCTAAATTTTTGTTTACAATTAAGCGATAATCCTTACCCAAATCATATCGGCAACATGGGCAACAGTAAATTTTGAACGCAAATGATTTCCTGAAGCAGTCCTACAAGTAAACGATACACCGTTAGCCTAACTCAAAAATACTTCAAACGCAGTAATAACTGCGAGCACAGATTATTAGTACACTGCCTCTGGCTTAAAGGGGCAGTGACAAGTAACGGCGACAGGAGAAAAAGACAAATTAACATAAAAAATGGCCTCAAGTAGATTGATTTTATAGTTCCAACGCCTTCGTTGGAGGTTTCAAAGAAAAGGGAGACAAATCGTTTCAAAATGCGAAATCGAATCGTGATTAGGTAGGTTCACTGAAACGATGAATCTTATTACTGTTTCTTTCCATGGCAGATGCAGGAAAAATATGTATGGCTTGACGCTATGTATAACACGTGCATAGTATTAATGAGATCAGCTTCTTAATAATAGAATATCTTTCACTGACACCAAATATGCAACAATTTACAACCATTAAATGCATACAGCTTCCAACCTACAATTTTCATCCCCTACAAACAACGTCTGAAAATGGAATGCATTCTCTGAAACGTTCTAACACTATGTTCGAATGCCGCCGCCTCTGAATCAGTTTTCAAAATCTACGACTACCTAAACGATGGAAGTATTAAACTCGCAATAATATTCGAACAAGGTTTCTGTTGCTTAAAGATATCTGCGCCATACACGTCCGTATTTCTCATTAGTGTAGACTTGTCAGTCCGTATTTGTTGTATATCAATGACTTATAAACACTGAGTCAATCTACTTGACGAAATATTCATAAAACCATATAAACACAAATTAAAGATTAGGCGAAATTAGTGGTAAATTTAAGCTCATAAAATTCTGAAATATATAAATATGTGTAGATGTAAAAGCAGATTTACAAAAGCATCGCGGAACGCTGAAAATATATTTCTCCTGTAGCGGTGTGTCAGTGACGACACCACCGCAGACCAGTTGGAGTGTGTTATCAGTGCCTTACACGACGATTGCAAGATTATTTACAATTATGATCACATTATAATCGGACTCTTATTATACCCCTACAACTCCCAAACCCGAAGTTTTAGCCCCCACAAAAAAAAATCCGAAAATGATTAGGAGCCTCTGAAACGTCAAGGTTTTTATTTGTCATCCTTGGCGTAGTAGTAACCTTGTGTGGAAATTTCATCAAAATCCGAGCGGTAGGCAGACCGACAGACAAACAGACCGACGAAAATATCTCAACTTTTCACGATTACATTACTTTCTCGCAAGTTTTGGCATATTCAGATGATGATACAGATCCTCTTATATGTTACCAAAAAATGAAGTCGAATAATACAGGTATCTAACGAATTTCATTAATTTTCGTTGCCTTGTTTTTGAAATGATGCATAAATTAGATACTCAAATTTACTTCAACTATTCCCCACTTTGGGAATCAATTATTTTCTAGCGCCCCCAGAAATCTGCTGCATCAGTGCTTCTGAAAACGAATGCCCTCATGATAATAAAGAGCGGGAAGTGGTTATTGACAATTAAAAATTGAAGAGAGGGGAAGGTCGTCTGCATCAATGAGAGGTCGAATATCCTTGTGGCAATTGAAGAACCGAGGACAAAATGTATACACTGCGTTTAAACAATGATGTATACTTAGTTAGCATTGAGGATAGCATGGACAATGGATTATTGGATCCAAACTTACCCTGCAAACGTTGTGTTTGCATTCCGTTGTAACTGGATGTCGGACTATCTCTTGACAACAGACACACGTGAACACATCTTGTACTACTCCCAAAAAATATTGTTCTCCTTTTATCAATCCCTTCATACATTCTTCCCACATTTTTATATTTTGTTTATCATTGTTTATTAGGTGTTGAATTTGCTCCAAGGATGAATATACGGATATGCCCTCCTTACGCGGAGTAGGAAAACCATCCGATGTAATTCCAACATTAGGTCCTTTTGTTGGAGATTTCTCAGTTTCTACGTTGTGTTTCACAAATGATTCGAGTTTTTTCTCATGGCTTCTGATCAGGTGATTGCTTGATTTAGGTTCTACCACACCTAAGACCTTCAAACAAATAAAACATTCCAAAAATGGTACCTTTTATATATAAGATTTGATGAAGGAAATTAACATATAACGTTAACGGATAGATAAGGTGAAGAATATCGACGTACCCGTCTAAGAAGATCGTATATTTAAAATATTAGCTCTATGGAAACGGATAAACTGAATTAGAAATTTGAAAAAATAGCTAGACATGCTAGACATTTTGAAGATGAAAATGAACGAAAATATATAGGATCTTATTTCTATTTAATAGAATTTGATTATGTCACTTTTCAAGATACGTAATAATAGTGCCGGACGTGAAAAATAGTTACCTGATATTGGATCTTAGTATCAAATTCACGAATATTTCATTTCTCAAAATTTTAACTTTGAAAAAAACGATATTCACAATTTCTATAATAATTGAAAGCTTGTATTTTCTTTATTTGTTTACATTTTCGCCAAATTGCGATATTCTTAGATGGGCACGGCGATATTTAAAATGGTGGCTTTTAATGAGAAAAAATTCATCAGCAGGAACATTACTATGGAAATCCGTAGGGACGCGTACAGGGGCTAAACTAAGGAAATTGTTTTCAAGAGATGTAGGAATAAAAAACTATGCAATGAAATACCGTAGAGCTACGAGTAGTCCTTCTAGACTGCCTCAACTCGGAGATTTCGATATCATTAGTATCATGGCTTTTTGGAATTATAATATATTTCCTTTGTATATTTTTAGCAGTTCTTCGAGTATTCCTAACGTTTTGTTTGGTCGCCTTACTTTTGTTTTTGATATGCTTCAATCTTTCTCCAGATTTTACAATATCGGAGTCATTTTTGCATTCTGGGCAATACCTACGAATTCAAATGGAGGATTCTCAACAAAGTAACCACAGTTTATATATATATATATATATATATATATATATATATTGTACTATATGTACATATATTTATGAATTTGAAAAAATATATGGATAAAATACGATTTCTCAACTCACCAGTCTTCGTCTGGTATGGTCTTTAAAGCTGGTTTCAAGCATGTAAGATGGTACCCATCATCACACTCATCACATAGAATAGTAGATTCCCAGTTATTTTTTCCACCACATACACAACATGAACAATATCTGCATTTTCTGGCGCGAATGTCATTACATTTCTCACAGTTATAAGGATACTTTCCTATACAAGAACAGAGATCTGATCAAATACTTGAAAATCAGTAAACAGAAAATTAAGAACTGTGAGATTAATGTCTAATGCAGGTGGGCTGCCAAAAAATCGTAAAAGTGCATCAAGATGCCGTGATTCTACCAATTAAGGCAGGTAAGTGATTGCTTACACATAAAATTGTTATTGCTACAGGGTAAAAATGTAAAATGTATCAGTCCCCAAAAACTTTTGAAGAAAATATTGTACACAAAATCATCCTAAATATGCAAAATGGCACTTAGAAAGTTTTCTTCTCTACAGGGTAGTTAATAAGAAATCCAATATGACATTTCGTCTCTTTTCCTCAATCATCAGCTTAATTTTTCCATATGGGCGTCATATCAGATTTTTACACGGGCGACTACAGTTTTTAATTTTAATTTTAAAATGTTATACATTGACATTGCATTGCATATATCATACAATTATAATTACTTAAAAACAGAAGTAGGCCTTAACATTATCAGATAGCCATTTTTGTGTTAGTACTACTAAAAATACCTATGAAACGTCAAAAAAAAACCTATAAATGTCATCTTGCAGACTAGGTAGTTTTTAGAGTGCAAACAATCATTCCACGTTTGCTCACTAGGACCATTGTGAGCGTCCATCTATGGAGGAATGACTCAACTAAACTACACGCATTGTTGGTTGCATATGTTTTGTGAAGCCGAGTAATTTGTAGTTTTAATCTCTGAGAAGAAAGTTGGTTGAATAGCAAGATCGCATCTGGATGTGTATAAAATCAGTGATATTTGCTGTGTGAGAAAATCATCACTGAATATGCTGCCAATGAAGTATATATATATATATATTAGCTGTGCCCAATGGGTTATGTGTGTTGTGCTTTCTGAAGAGAGGTTAAGTTCAAAGTTATAAATTACGAATAACTTTGAGGAGAATTACGAGAAATAACCACCGCGCCCGCGTTGTGTGTAATTACTGTTAGCATGTATATGGCTTGTAATTCGACAGTGTACATTGATTTTTGAAATTCAGCAAATTTGCATTTGTATGTAATTTCCCGAATGATTAAGAAAAGTGGATGCGCAACTAATTTCTAGCTTTCAGTCTCAAGTAAGTGTATATGAGACAAGAATCCAGTGGAATTCTCATCAACACATACAACTTACAGCTTAGACCTCCAGTAATGCCATCTCTGAAGCAGATTTTACATCACAGCAGAGCCAAACATTGATAACTGAAGCCTCATGACATTTAGGCAGCGCGTACAACTAAGTGCTAAGTTTACATCTTGTAGAATAACCTACACAATGTCACAAAAAAACAATACAATGTTAAAAAAAAATCGGCATAGTGTCACTTTTCAAGATACGTTTGTGACATTATGTAGGTTTTTCTAAAGGGTGGGCCATCAGTTGGTTTTTTTAAGTTGGTATTATTTTAACAGTTGGTAACACTTCCATGGTCAACATATTGAGATGTATTGTGTCAAACTTCTGCTGTGAGCAATGGATAGTTTTAATCTTGAACACAGGTGGGAAATATTGAAAAACTATTTTCAAAGTGAGTGCTGTGTTGCAGAAACTTTGCGGAAATTGAGAAGACTAGTTGGTCGGAATGAAGCTCCGTCCGCGACTGGTATTCGAAAATTCGTGAAGAAGGTTCGTGAAACTGGCCTGCTTGTGGATAACAGAAGGCATGAGCGTGTTCGACCCGTACGTACAGCCAAAAACATTGCTGCTGTTACCCATGTCAACTCGTCACAGAGCACAACAAGTGGGCATCACTCGCACTTCTGTGCGGAGAATATTGCATAACGACCTGGGATTATTTCCTTACAAGGTGCAACTTGTGCAAGAGTTGAAACAAAATGACCATCCGCTTCGATATCGTTTCTCTGAATGGGCTCTAAATCAGTTGGAAACGGACGTCAATTTTGGTCGCCAAATCATCTTTTCGGACGAAGCCCATTTCCATCTGGGACTGATATTGCCGGAGAAGGCTACGAAGTGACCTGCGTAGAAGAATGGACGCCATCAATAGCCAGGTTCGTTTTTCAATTCAAGGTGCCAGCGACCGGATGAAGGAAGCTTATAACGTTAATGCCAAAGACCAGAGGTATGACAACGGTGATACGGTTTGGCTTTACTACAGAAAATGGCGAAAAGGGCTGTCGCCCAAACTTCAATCATCCTGGGACGGGCCATATAAAGTTCTGGAGGCCATCAACGATCTACAGGATTCAGAAGGCATCACGCAGTAGCCCAAATTGTACATTTCAACCGACTTGTCCCTTATCATGGAAACAACGAAGATGCGGCGGTGCGGCAAATCCAACCAGAACTGGCCATGAGATTTGACCAATTTATGGCCCACCATGCTAATGGCCATAAGAGTCAGTATGGCGTGACATGTGAGGTACAGCAACATCTGTTTACCACTTCACCAGAGTATGCCCTGGCACACTGTGTGGCTCAATACTTGCAAATGTCGCGGGTATAGCAAAGGTCTTTCTCAGTCAGTTTGGAAGAGTGCATGAGCTGCGTCAATCTAACCCGGAAGTCCGAGAAGTACTCCAGATAACTGAAGAGGGTACCAACCGAAAAATCTTCTAGCTGGTTACCAAGAAAACTTCGTATCAGAAACCGAATTACGAGGATGTCTGGAGCGCTTTGTGTTCTCTTCGAGAAGTGTAGCTTGCCGAGGACCTGAGAAAACTGGCAGTACCTAAGCTGGCATGTGGACTGGACAACCTGGACTGGAGAATCATCCGAAGCATGCTTGAAGTAGTCTTCCGGTATACAGACATTCGAGTTCTGGAATGTTGTCACAGTCCTAGACGGCTACCTCCTGGATAGAGTGTAGATTGTTACTTCTTCAAGAACTCCTACTGCAAGAAATGGCAGTCGTGCCGATAACGACATCCACAACCAGTAAGATCATTCCGAGACGGAATGACTTTAGGGAGGGGGCAGTGTGACAAGAATGGTACTACTAGCGCTACCTGTTGGGAACCTCGCCAGGGACTCTCCTTCGGCATCCAAGCGATCTGCCAATCTGACCCTGAAGGTTCTGGAGTGGCCGCTATGTGGCATACAGGGATTTTCTCGAATTAACGAGTACCTGCGGTGCGGCATATTTATAAGCCGATGGCTGGAGCGGAGGGCGGAGTTGAAGTAAATAGCGCGACATTATAATTCGCAAATAAGTAGTCAGACATAAATAGTGGTGTACATAAATGTTCTATCTAGTTAAGTTAAAGTTAGTTGTGTTGTGTTGTAAATAAATTAGAGCATTTCTTTTTGTGGAATCGAGTGTTTTAATTCACACCCAAAAGAACCCAGTAAAAATACAGTAGGAATGACTGACGATAGGGCCCTAACGTACTGATTCAATAACTCTATTATGTTGATTGCTCAATTTTCGAACTTCTTTTAATACCATTTTTCCATATTAAGTTTCGTTTAGGATGGGGAAAGACCTCTATATGGCTGTACCGATTTTCACGATTTTGACTTCATTCGAAAGAGCTTACGCCTGATACTCAAGATTCAATTTTGTTAAATTAGTTCAAAGTGGCCACTACCTTTTTTTATGTTTCCCTTTTTCTAATTCTTTTCGAAAATATCAAATACAACTGTATAAGAGCGTAAAAAATTCTATGAAATGGCGAAAACTGCAGATCATTATCCTTATTCGTTATGGAGATGTTATGAAAAATATGCATAAATTACAATTTTCAAGTACTACTGGATAAAAAGAAAAATTCAAGCTATAGATAAGTTATCTAAAATGTATCAAATATGATACGATTTCAGGATATTTTACTTGGAAATTTATTTTTAAGCTTTTTATAACCGATAGGGGTCGTAAGCGTCGCCTGATATGTGAACTTCAACTATACCTCAATTTAACTCAGTTGGCTTTGAAATATAAAGAATTCAGGAAACACTGTGCTTTTTATCCACTTATCTTATTTAGATCTTTCAAGGGTACAAATTGTGTTTATATAATTGTAATAGTATAGTGGCATTTCGTTCAAGAAAGGGTAATAATAAAATCTAGCGTGTCATGTCATGACATTCTGGGACAAAAACAAACGAACAACCTAAAATAAATTAGTGCAAAAGTCAAAACGATTAAGGTCGCGTCGTTCGCAAGTTAGCTTTCAAATGTTCAATTTAACTTCTTTTTCTTAAAAGATGTGTGCCGTCCTAAAAAGAACCTATTTGATTTTCCAGCGGAGTACAAGTTATTGATGTCTGATCAGGCGCTCAAACTGTTTGCGACCGTTGTCGATCGTTAATTGCACTCTTCTGCACATTTACTCAAGAGCAGTTTCGATTTCGGCAGCAGGAATTTGATCGATGACATTATTTATGCGCTCTATCATATCTTGCCATGTATTCGGCTGTGTTCAATGAACGATATATCTTTTACTCTGGCCCAAAAATAAAAAACTAGGCAGGTCGGATCAGGGGATCAAAAATAAAATCCTAAAGATTATTCTAGATAATAAAAATATTCGTAGTCCCACAAATTACCAGACCAATGAAATAAACTTCCTCTTCCGATCCACCATACCCGGAAATGACGTGTCGAGGAACTGACGGAATTTGCCGCATAATGGACCGACAGCCGTCAGGTTGAAATATCATATTTTGACGAACTGCCAGTGAGACGTCTTCTAGCAACATAGGTAATATGCTGACTAGGAAGTTCAGCTAGCCCGCAGTCTCATCTAATATGTAAGGGCCTAACACTACCCGACAAAACACCACACCACACTCCATCATCCTTGATGTTGGACACCCTTCATCCAATGTGTGTTATTGTGGCAAATTCCCATTGCGATTGCATTCGAACATAGTTTCGTCAGTCCACAAAATATTTGTCATACCTAAATCTCTACCAATATCTCTTGTGGTGGAACGGCAGCTTATTTCCACTGCCATTACATTTTTCAAGCTATGAGCCTTCCTTTTTCTGTCAATATTGAAACGGCGGATATTTCCGGCACGGGTATTACGTATATTAAAAAATGACATATTGCCGTTTTTTGTCATTTCTTAGGTTTCTGCTCTAGAATGTCAAGGCACTTAAACGAAATAGCCACTGTATACAGGGTTATCCAAATTAAGTGTCCACCATTAGTAACTTTGTTATTAGTGAAAATACAAAGTTGTTTGAATTAGCAAACTAGTAGCATTTTTAACGCTGGTAAAAATGAGAAATAAAAAAAAACAATTGAGAGTCGTTATTTTGATTTTTTTCAGTAAAATAACATTTTTTTAAATCTAAACCCCTGTATATTATATTTTTTTCTGTTAAAGCATCAAATTTTAAACAAAAAAGCTTACAATAACTTTTCTCCTAGGTTACAAATTGTTGAAGTTATGGCCTCCAATCTGAAACAATTAAATTGTATCGACAAACTTTATTTTCAACATCAACTTATAATCTTACAAAATACAATAACAATTTTTTTTAAAGAAGATGCTCGAAAACACCACCTTGTTCTTCAATACATTTTTGGGCACGTTTTTCAACTGCTCGAACTGTCTTAAGTATGGTCCTACCATCTATCTGGGTTATCTTTTCCCTAACTGCAGTCTTTAACGCGTCAAGGTTATCGTACCTTCGCTTGTAAATTTGGTTCTTTAAGTAACCCCACAAGAAGTAATCAAGTGGGTTTAGATCTGGTGATCTGGGAGGCCACTGTATTGGGCCATTTGTTCCTATCCACTGATCATTAAAAGTAGTACTTAGAAAATGATAAGTACCTCTGGAGTTGTGGGCAGGTGCGCCATCTTGCTGAAAATGCAGATGATGTCTACTTATAAGATCCAATTCGTCTAAGAAATTAGTCAGAATTTCTGACATAAATTCCACATATCTTTCACCAGTTAGGGTTCCCTCATAAAAGAACGGGCCAACAATTTTTGAACCAATTATACCGCACCAAACGTTGAAACTGAAACGGACTTGTGGGCCTCTTGGATGTACTAACAAAAGATTTTCTCTTGACCAATAATGGTGGTTTTTTCTATTAAACATTCCAGAATTTGAAAAATTTGATTCATCTGTCCATAAAAGGTAACGAAAGTTATTTACATTTTGGCGACAGAAGCTAAGATACCAATGGCAAAAAACAAGTCTTCTCTCTGGATCCCCTGCCAAAAGCGTTTGAACTGGTCGGTACTTATACGGAATAAATTTGTATTTTTTTAAAATCCTTTGAACAGTACCATAACTGAAATTAGAGTCCTTGAGAATATCTGCTATTGAATTCTCACGATAAGCTTCAAAATATCCAATAACTGCAATTTCCGTGGCCTCGCTTATTATGAATTCTTGTTTTGCCCTTGTTTTAGCAAAAACATTTTCGTTGCCCCTAAATTTTCGATAAAGTCTCAGAAAATATCGTTCATACGGTTGAATGCGAGCGGGATATTATTCACTGTAGTATTCTCTTGCTCTCAAGGAGGATTTTCGGCACACTAAATAGCATTCTAACATATCACACTTTTCTTCATGGGAGAACATTTTTCTTTAAATTAATGACACAATAAAGCTTATAAACAAGTATTTACACTAATGTTTGACATTATTTGATTTTATCATTGTTTTCCAAAGCCTTCTAGTTGCGAGTATGTCCAGTTTAACAATTTGTCGCTTATCTTAATGCTGTCAAATCGCGAACGCCATGTTGTTTTCACAGCCGTCTTAATATTATAATACTGCAAATAATTAAAAATATTTATCGTTATTTTGACTTTATTTTTGACTTTAGCGGAAAAGTCATTATGAACTTTTTTGTTTAAAATTTGATGCTTTAACAGAAAAAAATATAATATACAGGGGTTTCCATTTAAAAAAATGTTATTTTACTGAAAAAAATCAAAATAACGACTCTCAATTGTTTTTTTTTTATTTCTCATTTTTACCAGCGTTAAAAATGCTACTAGTTTGCTAATTTAAACAACTTTGTATTTTTACTAATAACAAAGTTACCAATGGTGGACACTTAATTTGGATAACCCTGTATAATATTACAATGGATCGAACTACCTAAAGCGGTAAAAATTCGGTATTTGCTGAATTATCCGTATTTCAAAGCAAATATGTGGTATCATTGAAGTATGTATTTTTTCATACAATATTCAACACTTACACCCCCTACCGGTTACAAAAAGCGTAAAAATTAATTTCCAAGTAAAATATCTTAAAATCGCATCATATTGATACGTAAAATGTATGTATAACCATTCATAACTTGAATTTTTCTTTTTATCCAGTATCCCCTGTATCCCCCTGTAACCCACGGTACCCAGTGGGTGTTTAGGCCTCAGGCCTTCGTGGTAGTTGGAGTATAAAAAAAAGTATCTACTAATAATTGTAATTTAAGCATATTTTTCATTATACCTGTATATCCATGACGCATAAAAATATTGATCTGCGGTTTTCGCCATTTTATAGGATTGTTTATGCTCTTTCCGACCAATATTAAAAAAGTACCTATACCGTTGTATTTAGAATGTTCGAAAGAATTAAAAATGTGACACATTCATAAAACGCTATCTAGTGGCCACAAAGTGAACTAATTTGATAAGATTAAGCCTGAGCAGGAGCACAGGCGCAAGCTCTTCCGAATGAAACCAAGATCATAGAAAACGGTACAATTATTGTAGGACGTCTTTATGGCCTCCTAGATTTTCATAGTTTTTTACTGTTTCGTGTCAGCGCTCTATTTTGAGGTTATGTTACAAATATCTATTAGCATGAAATTGTTCATGCTTTTAATTTATATCATCTGCTATATCAGCTTGAAATGTCCTACAATTCAAAAAGAAAACATAGCCTCACAATACGAGAGCGCAGACGTTGACACGGGAGAGTAGAAATCTAGAAACACCCCAGCCTTTCTGAAGGAGAGAAAAGACTATGGAAATCAAGGAGTTGATAAAGGCGTCCTACAATTGTAGGAACGACTGACGGTACGGCCGTGAATATGAAAAAATGACATAAAGTTCGAGAATTGAGCAATCAACATAATGGAGTTATTCAATCAGAACGTTAATGTATGTACAGTCGGAGAAAAGAAAAAGTAAAGTAAAAATTTGTACACTTACTAAATTATGTCTATCCAAAACAATAAACCGAAACATAACCAGCGCGTGCTCAGTGCGTTATATATTCCAAGAAACGGGGACCCTGACTGCACGACTGTTATTGGGCAGAATGGATCGAGCTCATATACAGGAACAATGCCAAACAAGGAAGCTGGAGTGGGCGACGGCACCGCGGTGCATGCAAGCTCAACGGTAGCCCGCGTTCTTTTTCTATAAATGTACTTTTATTGGAATCCGATGTAGGTTATAGGAATGATTTTATCAGCGAAAATATACAGGGTGTTCAAAAAGTATGAATAGCTCAAAATATCTCGAAAAATAGGTTTCCTATAGAAATATGTCACGGGGGTGTCACGAACGTAGCGAAGGGACAAAATATCTCAGAAAACTTGGAAGCTTTAAAAGCCTCAATCTAATAGAGACCTTGAACGTGACCTTGACTATGACATTCAAGCTCATTTGAAGGTAAAGTCAGTTTACTTCTATTTTTTACTCCGAAATTAAGCAAGAAACTCCAGGTTCAAGTATGTCAATGATCTTGACGGTGACCATCAACGTCATTTGAAAATTGTATGAATTTCTAAACGGGAAAAATCTATTTTCAACTCCTGAAATGCAAAGTTCAAGTAAATCATTGATAAACGAACCTGACTGTGGCCCTGAGGGTCATTTTAAGATCAGAAAATGTTCAAGTTGAAGTCCTGACTTTTTGTCGAGGATATAAACAAGCAACATATTGAAATTAGTTTATTGTTGCATTAAAATGTTGGATAAACCTTCCAAGGCCATTTTCTTAGTACCAACTTAGGCAAATTCGCACCTATCCAACCAACTTATTTAAATGAAAACGAATATTAACAACCACAAAAATGAAGTCTAGATACAGATGTAATGCAAGCAAAACTATGGGTAGTACTTTTCGAAATGTTTATTTTATTCTCTTAAATATTTCTCTGTCTGTGTGAAAATAAACCTACTTGGTAGATGGGTGATATTTTCAGTAGATCTTTCACGCAATTTTACAGTTTTTTCAATCCTCATGATACCATGTTCTATCCTTACATAGCAACCTGCAATTGGCTTTCTGTCACCTCCAAGTAAAACGGTACCTCTAATGTTTGCCGTTCGTGATACTTCTTCAATAATGAAGTCATACCTATAAAAAACAGCAATTTAGCGCTATTTGCTTTTTGCTGTGTTGCTGTCACTATAGGTACTTACCAATTTCCTAAAGCCAAAGGGTTTCCAATATTATAATTTACTAAGACAACCATATCGCGCTTCAATTCTGATAACCTGTAGGCGTAATATGATCTAGGTCTTATATCAGAGATCAGAGCATCTATTTGAAAGTCTTCTACATGCGGTGCACTGAAAAAGTACAGAATAAGTATTCAGCCATAACTCGTTTCATTTTGAAAGAATAACACTGAAATGAGAAAAAAGTTTATTTAGTGGAGGGTACCCTAGATTTAAATCTCGGAAGCTGTATATATTACTGTATATACCCATTAATTTTGTCCGCGCTTGATTTTCAATTCCTTATATTTTTTTCAATTCACTTTTTTACGTACACGATTATTCGGTTTATACCAACTGATGAGCCTCATCAAACTCAACAAGAAAGTTCATACAAGGAGTTAATTACTTGAAATTACTCAACTAATTTAGATAAAACTCTGTGAATCGACACTGGACTGTACTGGATTTATTGGTTACATACAATTACTCTAATTTTTACCTGCTATTTGGAATTATATTTAAGCATGCCACTGGTTTCTTGGTGAATAAGATCAAAGGAGATAAATAATGCTGTTCTGAAGCGAGATTTGTACATAATTTCGTCACTACCGACACAGTATATATATTAATGAATATAAATAATCAAACCAATTTTTCTCTGAAGTCTGAGAATAATTTCACAAGAGAAGTTACTTAATGTCTTATCTAAAAATACAATATGTTTCAGAGAAGTCTGTGGCGTAGACAATAATTTTCAATTGCTTCTATATTAGTCAAAAATTCCCAATTTCTACGCCACTAGTGCAGACTCTGGAACGAAAACCTTTGTATTTATTGGCTTCGCGTCAATACTACAACATGTACAAAATCTTAATTCCACATCTTAATACAACCAATAAAAATTATAACCTCAAGATCGTGTATGTTGGTAAAGAGATTCAAGTTCATGTGAACTTTTCGTATTATTTTTTAATCTATCTTATGCCCTAGAAATATTGCAATTGTTTTTCTCATATATTTTTTAATATTCATAGAAAAGTTATAAAGGTCAACTTTTACGGGTAAACTTAATTGTTCAAGCTTTTAACAATGCAATTGAAAAGGTTTCACGAAAATGCTTTCAGTGGAACTGGGTTACGTCTTACGGTGCCACAAATACAATTTTATTTTTGCTAATTTTTGCATCTCTAATAGACTTCTATACTAACTACTTGCAATAAGCGAACTGATTCCTAGGTTAATCGACTCTAGTGAACCACTCACTTGTTATAAGTAATGTCAACCAGCTATTTTTTTAATTTAAATAAATTTTAATCAAGGTATACGTTTCCGTAGGTACAAGTCTCCAAAGCAAATGGAACGTCAGAAAATTAAGACGAACAGTTTATTAAACAAAATTAGAACAACGTATATATATATATATATGGATGTACAACAGTAGGATTATCTCATCTTTCTCTTTTTGGGTGCCCAAGCAATTTCTAGGTTTAGAGTGCACTAAGCCAAATGTTGAAAACACCCTTTCGACTGATGCCAAACGTGCTGAGGCAGAAAACAATTCTACAATTTCAACATGTTTTTGGTTTTTCCTCCAGTCTAAAGGCTTTGTGCTTTTAAGAATGTCTTCATCAAGCATAATTTCAATAAAAGACTTCGCTAACAACTTAATTATTACAGGTAAGAAATTGTTAGGTTGCAATTCTTTGGCGGCCTTTACTACAAATGAAGTTCTTTTCATTTTCTGATAGTTACATTTAGCTGTCGTTTAGTGGGTTCTAAAAGAAAGGTTAATAAATGACATGGCGCGAGGCATTGCTCATATCGTTGTATAAATTTTTGCAATTGGCTTAAGCTATTTCTCCTCAAATAGAGATTCCAGAATTTTAAATTGACGTACCTACAACATCTGAAAGTCTTTCTTGAATCTGTCAACAACTCCTTGCATTCCAGATCTACACATTTTACATATAGCCATACTACCTGTTTCACCCTCACATTTACGCCAAATAATATACCTATTGCTAGACGAGATGTTTTTTTCGACATATGAGAGCAACATATAAATATGTACCTGCGTAAAGTTAATCCACAAATAATGCCTTATTTCCGAAATGCGGAGAATAATGTTCCTGTCAAAACATGGGTTTGTTTGGCTTTGTGCAAGAACTTTTCTCATCTGATATCTAAGGGAGTAACGATATAACCAGCACGTGATAAATAAAAAATACATAGATTTTTTCAAAAAGCCGTTATGTTTTTATCAACCCTGATAATGCACCTTGTAGCTACGATCATATTACTTATGCCCCCTTCCTTCCTTTCTATTTTCTCTTCACTCTTCTCCCTTTTATTTGAATCTGTCAAGTTTCTAGGTGATACGGTTAACATACTAACGTATGAACTAAATGACTAAGAACACTATGACATAATGCCGAATGTCTCACAAATCGCCTTATAGCTCCAAGCAAATCAACTACTTCACACACAAACGAATTTCTTTCATGTTTTCAGAGTTTAAAAATATTATACAATAATTTCGTGTTTTTTTTTTTTATTTTGATAAATTTGTACCGATTTTTTCCTTAAATATGCCAATTAATAATAAACTTTGAAATAAATTATTTTCATTGTTTTTCTCTATTCGCCCAAACATACCTTTTGTCTCGATTTATAGTAAGAAAATCTGCTGGGTGGTATGCAAAAAACTTGAGATGAGATCTCGTGCGCATGCCGCGGCTTTTCTGTCGGTACAAAAAAAATCGTTCGTTTTTATAGTATAATGAACGATTGATGCGAAACAGATCATTTCTTAACTTATAGTCGGCCATACATGTAAATTGCGTTCAAGAATTTAGAAATGTCTAATCAGTATTTGAGAATTTTACTTCAAGTCAAATACAAAAATTTAGAAACCGATACGACCAACGCATCACTCCATAAATCATCTGCTAGCATATCTCCTTGATCCGACAAAACCACAACATGTATTAGCAGACAACGAAATAACTACTTCCCAGTGGGTTCTTGCCACTAATAATTCGATTCCTGGCAAAATCATATCCTTTTACCGACGTAATAACTGATGAAGGAATGCTCAAACTTCAACGATTTAAATTGGTGGAAATCCCAACAGAATTTCGATACTAGTCGAAAAGTACTGCCCATCATTAAACAGCTCTTATCTGCTACAGCTTCTTTAGCTTCTGTCGAAAGAGCATTTGGTTTGGTAGACAGTGAAATCTCCCTTGGTCGGACATCAACGACTGAAGGTATTGAGAAGTACAACAAAAATCATGTGGAACATTTAAAACGTATATATAATATAAATTTTAAAATGAACAAAAAACTTTAAACCCAAGAAAAAAGGTTTGTTACTTTAGACATAGACAAAGCATGTACAGGGTGGCCATCTAAGAATGCGAGGTACTGTGTCTGGGAACTTATCCATCGTAGAGGATAAGCCATATTATTACTAGAACGGCCAAGAGAAAAACCTGGAAAATGCTTTCAAGTTTCTGAAATGGCCGCTAGGGGGCGTCACTGCAATCTTGAATCCAAAAAAGTTTCTGTGAATTCCGCTATATTCACCTAACAAAAAAATACCTGATCTTTAAATTCGAGGATAATCTGAATTGTTGCTTGACAAGTTTTGCTGTATCTCTTGAAATAATGTGATGCGGGGTATTCAAAGGTTTCCGTAAAAAACGTCCTGTATCTTCGAAATGGCTGAGCCGATTTTAACAAATTTTTGCTAGTTGAAAAGAGCTATTGTTGGGCTACAGACGTTATAATATTTGGAGTTTTGTTTCACATGTAACCGGTAGAGGGCTTTTTTCGTCATTCCGACAGAAATGACAGAAATTTTACAAGGAAGGCCGATTTAAAAAAGGAAGGATTTTAATGCCCCCGTAAATGGGTTGACAAAACTGCAGCTTCAATTTCGGCTCTCGGTATGTTACGTATTGCATAACGAATCCAGTTTTTCATATCTTCTCTGGTTGTAGGTTGAGTCTGAAACACGATGTTATTTAACCGTCCCCATAAATAAAAATCAAGACAAGTCAAGACTGGTGATCCCGAAGGCTTCCTCTTCCAATCCACCGATGTTGAAAAACTGCATTAATATGCTCTCGCACAATAATAGCAAAATGTGCTGGGCAACCATCCAACAATATTTCCAGTGGCACATCTTCCAACAACAAGGGTAATCGATTGTCCAAAAAGTCAAGAAAGACATTGCCATTTAGAGATTGCTCGAAAAAATATGGCCCCATAAGTGTCTCCCAGTATGCCACACCACACATTTAAACTCCAACGCCCTTGGTGCCGAACTTCACGCAACCAATGCGGATTTTCTGCAAACCAATAATGCATATTGTGCAGATTGATTCTCCCGTCACTATTAAAGGCGGCTTCATTGGTCCAAAGAATTTTAAATAAAAATTCTCTATTTTCGCGTATCATACCTAACATCCAATGACAATAGTCCAACCTACGATCAAAGTCTTCTTCTTTCCAGGCGTGATGTAAAACGACATGATATGGGTGCATTCTAAAAGTAATTAAAAAAAGTTAAATTTAAATAAATCCCTATATTTCGATTGATCGTAGGCCGAAAACTACTATTGGCACGTAAGCTCGGCACTAATCGGAGAGAAACTCTCACATTGCAAAGACGCCGATTTGGGTATCGGGTCGCGTAAACTCTTTTTGCTACTGCGGCATTCTTAAGGCATTCAAAATAAACAGCTTCAACGTTCGAAAAAACACATTTGGCAAGTCCAAAATTTGCTCGAAGTAACGCGAACCTACTGACAATTTGACGATTATTTATGTTTTGGTTAGTTATTTGTTTTGTTGTATTCCATGGCCTACTTCTATTAACTGTCTTTTTAATATATACACATCGTGAATATGCATTTAAACAAAAAACATGGCTTTTGTTATTAGCATTACTTATTTAAAAAGGGTGAATTTATTCTGATGAATAAACAAAATTAAAGGATTTCCGTATAAAATTTTCTTTGGCCTAAATTTTAGGTTAGGAACATGATCGATTGATCGGTTTTTGCGAGCTTGTTTAGACATCATTTAGCTACCATTTCTGTTGGAATGTCGAAAAAAGCCCTCTAACGGCCACATGTGAAACTAACAAAACTTCAAACATTATAACGTTTGTAGCCCAAGAATATCTCTTTTCAACTAGCCCAACTTTTTGAAAATCGGCTCAGCCGCTTCGAAGATACGGAAATCTTTGAATACCCCCCACTACGATACTACAAAAATTTTCAAACAAAAAGTTAACATTACCCTCGAATTTAAAGATAGATCTTTTGTTAAGTTAATATAACGGAATTCACAGAAACATTACCTTTTTAGATTCAAGATTGCAGTTACGCCCCCTAGCGGCCAATCCAGAAACTTGAAAACATTTTCCAGGTTTTTCTCTTGGCCGTTTTAGTAAGAACTTTTTTGCCGCAAGTTCTACGATGGATCGGTGAACAGATTCAGTACGTCGCATTCTTAGTTTTCCACCTTGTACATAAATGGGTCATTGTCAAATTTCGCGCAGGTAACAGTGACTAAAAATGATGAAACTTAAAAAAAAATAAAAAACCTAGATATAACTTTTCTTAGTTTCTATGCATGGAAACATAACTGAATTTTGTATGTTACAGTCGGCCACGATGTTTAACTAATAATTTAAGATTTATGCCAGGTATTTTGGGTGAGAGATCAAAAAAATTACAACTCTGTTATCATAACGTTTCAACTTTTATTATGAAATTAAACAATTCAGTCCCAAATATTTTTGCAATAATGTTAATTATAGTCCATTGGCCTATAATCACATTTGGAATCACACCATTTTTTTAAAGTTTAATAATAATTTATTTAAATTCTATACAACTATGTTACTTCTTGAACTTTAATAGACATTAAATTCTGTCTAAGTACTCTAAATATCTATATATTAACTGCTAACTACAACGTACATATGAATGTATATATGTAACAATTTAACTTACTGTTATATTACTACCTATATTATATTAACTAACGTTTCATACAAATCTTTAGAATATCCTTTGAAATTTGGGACAGGAAAGTAACAGAGTTGTAACAAAGTAACATAGTGGTTTTTCTGCATCTTACCTGACTAAACTGCACTCGGTTGAGCTTGAAATCTTAATAACATAAACATAAGTAATGTTGATAAACTTTGTGACTGGTATTCACCAATCTATAATTAACTTAAGAAAAACTGTAATCAAATATTCTTGAAAGAGTAACTGAAAGGTCTAACTTGCTTATTTCTCAAATATGTCTAATGGAATATCAAAATGGTAGTATATTCTGTTACCTTTATAGATTTATTTAGGTTCTGGGACAATAGCAACTAAATCATCAAAAGGCATATAAGAAACATCGGACTCAACTCAACTAATTTAAATTTTGTTGCAGTATGATCTATTGACTTAAAAAACATAATTTTAATCTCGCCACCTTCTTCTAGTTCAGATAAAGCACTACCCAGATACATTTAGTTGTGTTTTAAGCTGGAAATTTTAACTAAGGCACAAACACCTTGTTTTATTTTATTAATGTGAATATTTTTCTTCTCGATTAAGGCATCGTCATTTTCCTTGCTTGAGCTGGCTTGTTCTACAAAATAAGTGCTAGGATTTTCTCTTAATGATATCAGAGGAGCATCATCATCGAAGTCTGAGTAGTAGACAGTGTTGTAAAAGCCTTTTTCTCGTTTTCGGGAAAGTTTGCTTATAGAGAGAAAATTGTTGTCGCAAATGGATGGACGTGATTGTTTCGCTGCAATTTTTAATGGAATGTATTACTTGGGGTTTAGGCAAGAGCAGAAGCCGCGCTTACAGAAACAACTCAAATTTCTATACTTTAGTGAGCCCAAATTGCAGCAGGATTGTGCGATAGGTTTCTAGAAACTGTACAAAACGATGATACCTCTATCTTATCATCTGATCCACGCCTATAGATCACTCCAGTATGCAAGGATACTTAATTTCGGGAGCCTCCAAAATGATGGGATTGTACCTCTTCATAACATTTACAACTATAATTTTCGCTAAAGTCAATGTGCAGTGCAATCTCATTGATGGACGAGTCATCTATGCATTTTTTATAGTTTCTGTACTGTGTTTTAATGTAATATACATGCCTTTTAAATTCCTTAAGTGGGATTTCAAATTTATCTATCAAAGCCTTTCCTGTACTCTCTACCTCCTCTTTGATGTTTTTTGTTACCTTTATTTTTTCCCTGACTTCTCTATCACTTCAGTTTTAGTTAACCATTGAGGATATTTCACTATCACTTCTTTTTTTGAAGTAACATAAATAGTTGTTTTTGATTGATATACAGAACAGAGTCCTGTCATACATGTTTGTGATTCTGGATCGCATACTTGGCTTACAATAATCTTGTTAAGATCTGAGGTTGGTATAATTTGGTTTTTACACAAAGCAATTGCTAGGTACTAGATGTTGATATGAATTCGACACAAACATGTTTCTCCTGCAGCAACAGTTGGAAGTAAAGCATAAAATGACCTGTATCGTGTAAAAGTCTTGTAACTACATTTCAAGTTAGTATTTTCACGTTGAAAAGATAGATAAAGGTTTTAGTTCATAGTATCGAGTAAGTAGCGCTTTTGCATTCTATTTTTCTTTAAAGTAACGGTTTCCTTTTTTCCTGCAGTCGCTCTTGATATATCGTCTTGTTCAAGAAAATCCTCAATGTTGGTACTTAAAACAGTTTGCTTAAGCAGAGGCTGTTTTTTTCGTATGTAGTCTTGTCCCACAGCAAGACATCTTGGATGATCTGTGTTTTTTGCCTAGAACATTTAACAGACCTTCCTTCGAATATCTTCTGAATAGCACATTTTTCCTTCTGATTTTTCAGATTTTCGTATCGTTTTTTAATAGCATTTGATCGGATCTCATACTTCTGTTGATATGCACGACCACCATCTTCAATTTCAGAGCTCTTTTTTTTCTCTATTGTATCTTTTTTATACTTTTCGTATCTCTTGTTCATTGCTTCGAGTTGTTCCTTTAATTTTATGTTGTCTCTAAATAACTTCGATATGTTTCTTTTTACTTGCTTTCTGCCGCGAGATGCTGCTGGTGAAATGGGGCTAGGAGTATTTGCACGGAAAGTAAACAACTGGGCGTAGACAAACGATCATCAGTATTTGGAGTAACTTGATCTTGATCCGAGGGGGCTGGATCATTTAAACGAGGAGATGATGACTCTGGAGTGTGCATAACAATACGAAGCGCTCTAACTTTATCTCTTTTTTAATGCTCGATGTTCACGTGTTGTCAAATCTCGTACTAAGCGTTTGTTAGCATGGTATGTCTCTCGATCTTTTCTCTTAGCTTCTGCTTCCTTTTCTGGATGATTTTTACGTCGTTCGCGGTATCGTCGCTGTTTCTCAGGAGAGGCATTTTGAAATCCCAAAAACACAGTATTCTGAAACAATGTTTTTAACTTTATAAAACGGTAGGCCCGATTAATCCAAAACATTTTTAACCATCGTTCCTTATCTATAATTTGAGTAAAAAATATAACATATGGTCCGTAAACGCTTACTTTTTAAGATACTCATTACTTTTATAAATTTACAAGTTGAAAATTTAAGTTCAAGGTTACATAATACAGGAAAATTCGGCTCTGTTACTTTCTTAACAACCCTGTTACCACGCGCTGGTAACAGAGTTGTGTAGTAGTAACAGAGTAGTAAATTTTACATTATATCGCACATAAGTCATATTGTGAAGCGTCTAGTACTTTTTTGCTTTCATATTTAGAATATTTGCCTCTTTGACAACATACTGAACCTAAAATAATGAAGAATACGTTAATTTACTTACGTAAACAGGTGGGTAACAAAGTGGATGCACAATAAAAACACGCAACCTCTTCTACGCTTGGCAGCCGACCGAAACCACCGGAACCTCCGGTACCCTTCTCCCCGATCAACCGATCAACCAGCAGGATAACCTGTTCAAGCTAATAAAAACTCTTAGTAGCGCCATCTCTATTTTAAGTTGTTATTTATTGGGTAACATAGTATTCCATACTCTTCCACACGTTACGCAGGACCAAGTTTGAAAAAATAATTATTGAGTAAATTTTGATACGTATGGCTTTTCAGAAATATTCTATAAAAATACTAACAATGATGGTAACAATTCATAAGGTTGGTTTATACAGTAGAAAATGAAATTCTTCGAACACTATTTTCACGGAGTGCTATCAGAACATATAAAGTTTGGAGGGAAAACCACTCTGTTACTAAATATTACCACAATGTTACTTAGGAAAAAAAATAAAAAACTCACAGCTAAGCCTTTGTTTTAGTTACCAGTGTTTATTAATGCGGCGTATTTTATGTTTAATGTAAACTTTCTATGAGATTATGTGATAATCGCTAATAAAAAAATAATACAGTTGAGGGACTACTTTACCTGTGCGAAATTTGACAATTACCCACATAATAATATGTATGTAGTAACACAATGAAATAAAAATTCACTAAGTCACTTAAATAGCATCTTGAAATCGTATTTGTAATTTAGAAGCAAGCTCCAAAGGCTCTGTATTTCCCTTACTTTCGACAAAACTGTTGAGCTGCTTGGTCAGGGTAATGAGCTGCTTGGTCAGGGTAATAGCGTTACCATAATTTGCAATCGTTTCTGTTGGTACTCGAACCTCATCAACATCAGAATTTTAAATCCTCAAAAAGGTGGTGAAATTCACTCAGTGGTTTTCTGTGCATAAGTATTTATTAAAAGACACATGTCTTCTGTATTCATAACTTCGAAATCACTTGGGACCCGAAAAAGCCGCTAAATTAGTTTTCCTGTATAAGTATCATAATTGACTTCCTCAAACATATCTTGCGTTTGTTTTTTGTAGGTTAGCCTGAGTAACGTTTTTGTTCACTGTTGATATTTCAATACCATTGAATGGTGGAATGATCTTTGTTTAATTTTTATTTATTCATGAAGGTAATATTATAAACTATAAACTAGTTTTTTGTTGTTAACTGTATTTTCTTAAATTTAATTCATGAATATTTACGATGGACTAATGGGGATGATTTATATTTTTAATCTTACATAATGTAGGTAGACTCTTAGTTTTAAATAAACTATTTTCCTTTTTTGAATTTGCTGATGGGTTATTTCAGTTATTTGCAGTGATGGGCGTTTACGCGTATACGTTAATTGTCTACGTCTCGATGTACCTATACAATGCGTATACAATGAATACAATGTATACAATGATGAAGGCAATGTATAGAATAGCATACGTGAGGTTAGGTTTATTCGCAAACGTCAGAAAGTTGGTATACATTGAACTGAAAAAAATATGGTTGGACGCTCCAAGAACAAAGAAATCGATGAACTAGGGTTCATTTCTTTTTCTTAATTTATTAAAAACTGTATCTTTGTATACGTTTATAAATAAATATTATATATTTTTCTATTATTTATAACCTGCTTCCACAGTCAAACCCATAATGCAATGTTACAGAATTTGTATCTATCCTGAACTTTCAGTTCCACCTAAAATCGGAGAACCATTAGGATCGATCTGGAATTGATCCCAAACAGATTTTACAGAAATGTATATTGGGGTGTATGAAACAAGGCGTTGCAGCAAGTTACAGTTGTGTTCTGTGGCTTTAATCACTGTTGTGCCAGGCAACGTGGTGTGTGGCGCACTCTTTCTACACAAGTGGTGCCCGCTTGACCCCCTGCCTCTCTTCCTCGTACAAATAGAAATCTAAAAGGCAAAGGGACTTTGACCAGCACTATATGCCAGTAGTTGAACTATGATTTGCTATTGTATACATTATATACATTTTATACGTGAATATCGAGACGTATACATTCACCATTGTATACGCGTATACAATGGTGAATTATACATGCGCCCATCACTGGTTATTTGCTTCGGCGACTTGTTTTTCCAGCAATTTATAATTTGATTTAAATCAAGATTGAATTAAAAAAATCGATTGATTTAAATCATGATTTTAATAATTCGATTTAAATCATTGCAACCCTGGAAAGGAGTATTTTGAAACAAAAATGCGTAGACTGCATCTTAATCATACCCTTCATTTACAGAAACCACTGAGGTCGCAAAATGTTTCTAAAGAAATGCAATTAATGCACGCAAGGTTTGAAGAAAATTGTGAATTTAACATACATATAATGCGACCCAACAGCCAACAAGTGTTGTCTGACAATAAAATTGAGGAAGAGATTTGTTAATTCTAATCATTATTTGCTACATTCACAATGTTTTCCATATCTATGAGTACGAGGTGTGTAAATTAAGTGATGAAACTGGCAACGTGACGTTCGATCTGGCCACACTGGCGCCGCTGGTTTTTTAGGGGAGACAGGGGAACATGTGATCCCCCTTCAAAACAAGTTTGAACTAGCTCGAGCCATTTCGTTGTCGGTAGCGATTTTTTTTTCAAACAGTTTTTCCTATTATTAAAGTGAATGACATCAATTTCGAGCAACGGTGTGTTATCAGGATTCGCTTCAGACTTGGGCACAGTGCGAGGGAAAGTCTTGCCAAATTTCAGCAGGCCTACCGAAGTAGTATTCTGTCAATAAAATAATTTAAAAAAAAATCAGTCCCATCACTTAATTAACAGACCTCGTGTATTTTGCAATATTTTTCTATCTGAGTGGTTAATATAAGTTATTCGAAAAATACTTTTTTCTAATATACTGTATATTTTAGAACTTTGACAGCATCCTTATGTTCTCCTCAAGAACTATATTAATATACAGGGTGACTTTGAAGTTGAGTCATTAATTTTCAGATAATGATTGTAGAAGGAAGATAAACCAAAACATGTGTGTAAAAATTAAAAAAAAAATTAATAAAAATGTTACCTTGTTTTATAAAATATACTCCCGACAAGTATTTCAGTGCGGACCTGTATTTGATCGTGCGGTCTTGGAGCACATACCCTCCCGTGTGAGGACTTAAGTCACCTGATTCACGAGCCCTTTGTACTACATTAACAAAGGCACTAGGGGTTGGTTGCACTCGATTGGGAAACCGATCCGCATAAATCCGTGTTGCCGTAGCAGCATTTTGTAAAATCAGAATCATGTCCACAAGTTCAGCATTTTCGTAAACATGTGCCATTTTTTATTTCGTTTGAGCCACGCAGAAACACCACTCACGCGTTACCGACTGACACATCGAATGAATACAACTGAATAAAATAAATGAATAAAACATCGTAAGAAGCGTTTCAAATTCTTTCGCTTTTTTGTTTCCGATTATATCCGTTGTTGCCAAACACGAGCACATATTATTATTGAGACAGGGCGGTACTCAAACTTCTAAAGGGCTATAACTTTGTTACTTTAATTTTACCACAAAAATGTTAAAGGAAAAAACATTTCTTTTGATCAGATCTACTCACTGTTAAAATAAATGACTCAACTTCGAAGTCACCCTGTATACATGGTGTTCCATAATTATTGCGACAAAATGATAGGGGTTGTAGAGGGCATCAAAATGAACAATTTTTCCTTATAAACCCCTGTTCGGAAATATGCCGTTTGGGCTGCAGCAAAAAAAAAGATCAGTTTCTTGAAACAGCTTACCTACAGTAATTGCTCAAAGTATCCTCCACCTTGCTCAATACACAGCTGTGCACGATTGTTCAATGATCGGCGAACTCTGTGGCATACCCCCGGTATGTCCTGAACATGTGCGGACGCGGCCATCACTCTTCCCAGTAGCTCTTGTTGGTTGGGAACAGGAGTTTCGTACACTAAAGCTTTCAGATGGCCCCAGAGAAAATAATCCGGTGGGGTCAGGTCGGGTGACAGGGCCACCTCGGCCTATCCACCTATTTGGAAATTTGTCGTCCAAATACTGCCGCACTTGTAAAGAAAAGTGTGCTGGAGCGCCATCGTGTTGAAACCACATGTTGGCTCTTATGTTCAGTGGCACATTTTCTAATAGTTCCGGTAGCACATGCTGTAAGAATCGACCATAAGAATGCCCATCCAAACGTGGTGGAAGCAAATATGGCCCGATGATATGCTCGTCCACAATGCCGCACCAGATGTTAATTGAAAACTGTTGTTGGTCTCTATGGATGGCTATGGCATTAGGGTTTTCTTCATCCCAAATGTGACTATTACGGCTATTAAAATAACCGTCCTTTGTAAAACAGGACTCGTCAGTGAACAAAACTTAGCGACCAAAGTTTGGTTGCCTCAACTCCTGCTGCAGCCACCAACGACAAAAACGTCGACGCGGCAGATAGTCTTCTGGACCCATGGCTTGGACTTTTAAAAGGTGGTATGGGTGTAGTTGCTGGTCATGGAGAACCCGCCAAACAGTAGTTTGAGACGCTCCCATATCATGTGCAATAGCAAGCACGCTTGTACGCGGATTGGCCTCTACATGATGCAGAATCGCTTCCTCAAATTCTACTGTGCGCCTCGTGAAGGGCCGCCCTGCTCCCGCGTGGTGTCTGATGCTGCCACTGACACGAAGACGTCCTTGAATCCTTGCAAAAATGGCGTGATGCGAATGAGGACGTTCTGGAAACCATTAGGCGTAGATTCGCGAGGCTCATCTTCCGTTACCACCAGCTTCTCCGTAAATTAAATGCATATCCGCAAGTTCCGCATACGAATAACGCTGCTTTTTAACACTAAGGTACTGTTATTTACTATCTAGTTTGACGCACCACTCAGATAAATTAAATGTGCTAGACGAACATTTTGCAGCTGGTGAATTTTTTGTTTCTCCTATAAGCTCTTAAGGTAAAATTAGCGGTAGTGCTCAAACGGCATATTTACGAACAGGGGTTTATAAGGCAAAATTGCATATTTTTATGCCCTCTACAACCCCTATCATTTTGTCGCAATAATTATGGAACACCCTGTATATACATATATATAACGGGTGCGCCATCTTTTATGTCGGTATTGAAACATCGAATGACTTTGATATTTACCAATCGAATGATTTGATGATACGTGTTTTTGAAACGTCAATTTACTACAATTTTAGTCATGAATCTCTTTACACCGAAACAACGCGCCGAAATAGTCACAATGTACAATGAAAATCCTCGTTCAGTTGTGTTAAAGCAACGTGCATATCGTCGAAAATATCGTAGCAAACAGGCGTCTGACAACAATACCCGTCGTTTGGTTTCGAATTTTCTTGGGTACGGGACAGTGAGAGATCGTCAACATACCGTTCATCGACGGCCAAGACGTTCCAATGAATTGGTTGAAGCGGTCAGAGACAGCGTTGCCCAGAACCCAAAAGTGTCGTATCGCCACCGCGCTCAGCATTTTGGCATCAGTGGAACCACGTTGCGGCGCATTTTGAAGGATGATTTGCATGTATTTCCTTATAAGGTGCAAACACAAAAAAATATTGCCAACTGACCGTCCACGTCGCTTGGAATATGCCCAAACAGTCGCTCGCATGGTTGATGCTGAACCTGATTTTTGGAAGCAAATTGTGATGACCGACGAGGCCCATTTCACGCTCTCTGGCGGCGTTAATAAGCAAAACTGCCGCAGTTGGGGGACGGTAAATCCACATGAGATCCACGAAATGCCGTTGCATGACCGGAAAGTTACTGTTTGGACCGGCGTTTGCGCCAAAACCATCATTGGGCCATTTTTGTCCAAACGAAACAGTCGATGGAAATCGATATCGGTGGATGTTGGCTCATTATGTCTGCCCACAAATACTTGAAAAAGGTCTTGATGGTTACTGGTTTCAACAAGACGGTGCGCCAAGCCACAATGCAAATGAAACAACCC